CCATCCACCAGATCCTGGGGCTGACTGGGGCAGTGGGAGCTGCACTGCCCAGCCACCCAAGCACCAGAGCTGGAGCCTGGTTGCTCTGTGGCCATGACACACAGGGTTCACAGTAGAAGGCAGCCACAGACATAGGTAATGCGTTGGGGTCATGTGCCCCTTGATTTTCAGTGCCGGTGCCTTCACTCTGCCCCCACTCCTTGCCTGCTCTTCCCCACAGAGCAGGTTGCCTCTGGTCACAGGGCTGTTGACAGCATCCCCTGCATATAAGCAAGGCCCAGCTAGCACCATATTCCCCAAAAGGCCATGACTAGGGGTATGGTGTCTCATTCATTGTTCTGAAGGTGCAGTACATGTAGCACTGTGTGAATTCTGCTAGCCCCCACAAAAGGCATCATTCCATCATGGCCCAGGCAAAATGGCTCCAGGTGCAGTTCAGCCCCAGTTGCTCTGTGTTCCCACCCCACCTTACCCCCATACACCTCTGGCTGGGATAGCCAGAAACTGGCCCAACAAGCTCTGGGGATATGCTGCTTCAAAGCGCTCTTCAAGGTAACGTCATCCATTTGACTCTGCAGGGCTCCTGGACTGACGAGAATAGAGGCATCCCAGGCAGAAAGAGTCAATCACCTGGACGCTTGTCTCACTCACCCTCACATGAGCTAACGGAGTGAAGCTAGGGCAAGTGAGAGGAGCCTTGAACATCCCATTTCTCCCCTGGCTTCACAGTTACAACTCTGCAGCACACTAATGAATGTGTTTTATTGTACAGGCTGCCAGCTCTCCAGGATATTGTCTCAACATTAACAGTCCCATGGTCACTCAGTTTGGTTTGATGGTTTTAGCTTGCTCCCTTTGGGCACCTTCATATCTGTGCTGTGCTCAAGGGAGCCAACAGCCTCGCCAGGTCCCTGGGCAAAGTGGGGTCAGGCCTGGTTCTGGGCTTCCGGAAGAGGAGCAGCCAGCCCGCAGCACTGTATGGAGCCCAGTGCCCCCGTTACCCACAGCCCTTAGTGCTGCCCGGAGCACAGGTGCCCAAGGCTCCAGCGGTGATTTAAAGGGCTAGGGGATCTCCATTACAATAGCAACAGCAGCAACCAGGAGTTCCAGGCCTTTCTGAATCACCAGGCCCCAGGGCAGTTGCCGTCTTTGCCCCCTCACGTCATCGGCAGGCCTGGAAGTACTTAATGTGGCTTTCACTGTAGCAGCTGCGATTAAAGAAAGAATTGGCTCTGATGGATACATTACCCTGTCTGCTCTTAGAGCTGACATTGATTCTTTTGAGAAACACAAGGGTAATAGGGAAAACTGAATCAGACCATCCGCTGGTATAAATCAGCTTAGTTCCACCAACATCACTGGCACTATGCCAGTTCACACCAGCTGAGAATCTGGCCTGGTAGAGCCCAAGATCTGTATCAGTGCAAGGACTCCCTCGTTAACCATCCCCAAAGCCCCACACCAGACGACTCCTCTTTCCACCCATCTGTTTCAAATACTGATCTTTAATTAAATAGGCCAGCGTCTTACACAAAATACAAGCATTTGGATAAAATAGTGATGAAAATCATGCTCAATTTGCAAATCCTTTCATTGAAAGTACCCAAGCAATCACATAAAAGAATCAAACTCTGTTCTGCAAAAATGTCAACATTCCTCTGCAAACAGTTGACTGACACATGACTGAGCTGGATGTCACGAGCAGGTCAACCTCAAAGCCTCAGTTAAAAGAAGTTCACCAACTTAAGACTAGCCACATATACCACTGGTGGTGTTCCCCTGAGAGCCACAGAGTGAATATGGATGCAGATCTCCAGCTTTCCAGCCAGTACAAAAATGTGGGTGAAAATGATTGTGTTGGGTTTTAAACCAAACAAGTTAATGAATGTGTTTGGGAAACTACCATTACCAAACTCCCGCTGTGGAACAACACACTAAATTCTGGCTCGGCTCAGTCAAGTCACCTGAATCATTCTTTGTTAAGAAGCTGAAGAAATAGTCTTCATACTACATGGCACAATTACTTGTGAAATCCTAATGGAATCTTGACCCTTGACAAGTGTTCTGGAGTCAAAAGGCTCAAGCATGCCTCCCACTTCACTCATGGGATAACCTCCAGCATGAGTATCAGAAACTAGCCCATTGACATTAACAGCAAAACTCCCATAGATTTCACCAGGAATCTAACCTGGAAGAGTTCGTTAAAGCCTTATTTGGTCATCCATTTAATAGGCTCCTACTAATAGGCAAAGTGTTCTAAAACTGTTCGATAGGTATCTGTGGGGGGGGGGACACAAGCCTTTCAAAACATCTCTTCCCTTCCTCCCTCCTCCCCCACCGGCCAATAAAATTATGTTGTGACAATGAATATTATTTTAAAAACAAAATAAAATAAACGGAAAGTCCCGTGCAACATGAGCAGCACTGAGGCCTTTGTCGTGTGTGTACACTCCGGTGGTCCCAGTACTCCAGTCCTAAGTGAGTGAGGCTCACCTGGCTTTGCTCATATTTTATTTAGCGAGCTGAAAGTAACATTCTTTACATCCGGCAAGAGGGACGTGATGTTCTCGGCATGGATATTGGCCCATGCAGGGAAGGTGCTCAGCTGGAAGATGCTCTTGGCCCATGTGTTCATAGCCAAGCTAAGGAGCAGAACTCCCATAAGATTCATGAGTAGCCCAGTTCTTGCCTGTGAAAGAAATGCAGTTATATTATACGTGGGTTTAGCTTGGAAATCCTGAGCATGTGAAGCAAGGAACTAAGCTGGCCAGCCCTGGGGTCTGAATGCACATGAAGGAACATGACAACAAGAGAGCTTTAATTAACATTTCACCTGGATTTCTCAAGCCAGGGTCCCTGCAACCAAACGCTAAGTCCTGATCCATCAAAGCTTTAGCACATGGTTAACTTGAAGCATATGAGTAATCAAAGGAACTGTGCTCATGCTTAACACATGCTCAAATACATTGTTGACTTGGGGCCTGATCCTATGTCAGTGATATAAATAGAAGTTTAGCTACCATTGGTGCAGGATCAGGGCCTGAGAGACATAGAGTACATACAGCCTCCACTGCTGTCTTTACTGAGAGCAGTAGGTGTTCAAAACTTCTCTGGCTCAAACTTTGAAAAAGCATCTCTAGCATTCCAGTGTAGGATGGTGTGCGTGTGTGTGTAAGATTCATTTCTGCAGAAGAAAAGGATTCTCTTGCAAGTCAGCTGAGTACCAAGGAACTGAGAAATCAAAATCAGTTTAAAGAGTCTGTCAATTAAAAAGCATGTTCAGTCCTGAAGCTGTTTTATTTTCCTCCTAGAAAAATGCCCCCTACCCCCGTCTGTACTACAATCAGGCTACGTCTACACTGCATGCTTATTTCAAAATAACAGTGCGAGTCTACACAGCAAACCTATTATTTTGAAATAATTTCAAAATAATGGGCTTTTTACTTTGACTTCTGTAATCCTCATTTCACAAGGAGTAAGGGAAGTCAAAGGGAGAGTGCTCTTCCTTCAACTTCCTGCTCTGTAGACAGCGCCAAAAGCCAAGTTACTTCAACTTCAGCTACACAATTGACGTCGCTGAAGTTGCATATCTTAACTTGACTTTAGCTTGCAGTGTAGACGTACCCTCAGTGTCTTCATTCAGGGAATGAATGAAACTACAGACATTTTTAATCAATCAATATGAACAAGCAGTTCTGTCAAGCTACAGCAGTATGGAGGCCAAGAGTCAAAGCTGCATAAACTTAATCAAAGGCTAGGTGTGCAATTCTTACCTGAGTAAAAAAAAAAAAAGAAAACCACCCGAGCCCCTGAATGACAACAGGAGCTGAGCTGATTAGCAGCTGAATTTCAAAAGAAAGGAGTTGTGCGGTCTTTGCCATGTGTTTCTCTCAGGCAAAAGCCCCACTGGCTTTAGTAAAACTGAGAAGGAGCATCAGTACTTGGCTCTGTTTCCAAAGCAACAGACTTTCCGTTCACTCCATGCAAAGGCACAAACTCATACAACCATGGCAACTGGTAACCTCAGACTAAACCAGTGGTGTACAAAGGGAAAAAGAGAACAGGCTGGAATGGCTGAATGCTACTGCAGCAGCTCCAGAAGGAAGCGTCTCGTCACACTTTTAACCTGAAGGAAGCTGGGGGAGAGGAGAGGTGAAGGAAAGTTAGGTATTGTGAATTAACGCTGCACTCCTTTGGGCTAAGCGTGCTGAGGTTCCTGGATAAGCCTGTACCCCTGACAGGGACTCTCCCAAATCTGACATTTATCCCATCATCACAGAACATCACAAGTCATAAAACTTGCCCCTTCTTGGGGCCAGCCAAGGGTAGGAGACAAGCTTGGGAAAGAAGCTGACATCCAGGCAAGCTGGTCCGTCAACACAATGTGAAATTCTGGAGACCCAGGTTGCTTCCATTTAAGTGAAAGGGGATGTGACTAAGGGTGACAGGCTCGAAACAGATAACTAGCAACCCCACCCATAGATAAAACCCCAGCTTCTCAGCTAAGCCATAGACCCCAGATATAGGCGCATAAACTTGGCTCTCTTATTCCACCTGCCCACAGTTTGGTGAGTGAGCAGCATCTTTAATCATAGAAGCCTGAGATCAGATTCCTGCTCAGCAACATGAATCTTCTTTAACCACTTATGGCACTAGCCCTTCACCCCTCTGGTTCATTTGCTGAAAGACTAATTCAGGCAGCTAGATCCCCAGGGCTTCCAACAGAAAAAAAAGTGAACCTCATGTCATTGCGCTCAGCAGCCATTGCAGAGCCTGAAGGACTGATCCTACCCAGAGCAGACTGGAGTATATATGGGCACAAGGAAATGTTTGCTGAATGAGATGTGAGGATGGGGAGGCACAGGGGGCCCAGCCGTGTATTAATGAGAGCTGCTGTATGAGCCCCATGGCCAGAAAGGAGAGTGAGTTGCTCCCATGCCTCCTTAGCACAACAAGGGTCCTGCTTAAGCCTCTGTCCTTTCTCTGCCGTCCTTTATTCCGCAGGGATTGGGAGAATCAGAGCGCAGGTGTGCACGGGCATCGAGTGCATCTGCCCTTAAAGGAGTAGGGCTAGCACTGTGTGCAACCTGACTTGCCCCCATGTGTATTCCTCTGCTCACACTGCCACTGGAGCATAGGGAGCTTCTGCAAGGAGGAGGCCTAGGAGTAGGAGTCAAGCAGAGGTGAAAGTGCGCCGGTACGGAACACCGGTCCAAAGTGGCCACTGGTACAGGCCTATACAAAGCCACGGTTAAAACGCTACCACAGCAGCACTTTACGTCACTGCCCTTTTTGCCTCCCTCTCCCCTGTCAGCAGCCCTGCCAGTAGGGTCTGGCAGTGCTACTTTAATGTCACTGCCCCTCCCCGCTCAGGGCTGTGGATGGAATGGGACCAGGGCCACCGACAAGGGCGGGGGAGGGGATAGGAGGCAGCTGGCTCAGGTCCAGACAAATTAAAAGGGCCAAGTGGGCTCCTGGCTGCTGCCAGGGTTACCACGGCAACAGCCAGAGCCCTGGGTGCCATGCTCCATGCAGTGCTGAGGGGCTGGCTGGGAGAGGCTGACCCCATCCTTGCCCCTTCTGCCCAAGGCCCTGTCCCTTTTGTGGCCCCAGAGCCAGGCCCCCCGTACCAATAAGATTTTTGAATTATTTTCACTCCTGGAATCAAGTGGACGCCCAGCCCTTCAGCCCGACCTTTCAGCAGCAATGTCAGTTCCTCCGAGCACGGCCTTTCAAGACAATCTGCCCGTCCTCCCCTCGCTGCTCCTGGGGAGTGTGTAGAACACGGGTCTCGGAGCTCTTCGCCTTAAAGCCCTGCGTCTTTTAGTGGGTGGCTTTAGCCATCTCATTAACATCCCACGTGGACCAGCCCGTGGTGAACAAGGAGCCTCGCTTTTAATGTGGGTTAGAAAAGCAATTGGGTTTCCTTCACATAAGCTCAGCCATGGTAGTGCCAACCCCAGTTCTGTGAGCATGGACGGGATCATGAGGACACCCCTCTCCCGCTGCAGAACAATGGGACCTTAAGCACAGTACTGAATCCCCACGCCTGTCTGCATGTCACTCACTCAGGGCAGGATTCCTAGCAATGCGGTGTGTATGGATGGTGGGTATAAGAGGCAAAGGAAGGCACTGCCTTCCCAAACTGACTGGCTGGCCCACCCGCACTCCCCACCCCTCATTCAGCATGGCTCCTCTTGTTGCTCAGGCTACCTGAGCGTCGGGCTTGTAGTGTCAGGGAGACACTTCAACACACAAAAGGAAGTTTTTCTTCACTCAGCACACAATCAACCTGTGGAACTACTTGCCAGAGGATGTGGTGAAGGCTAGACGTTTAACAGGGTTCAAAAAAGAGCTAGATAGATTCATGGAGGTTAGGTCCATTAAAGGCTATTAGCTAGGATGGACAGGAATGGTGCCCCTAGCCTCTGTTTCTCTGGAAGTGGGAGGCATGTGGTATTGGCCACTGTCGGCAGACAGGATACTGGGCTAGATGGACCTTTGGTCTGACCGAGTATGGCTGTTCTTATGTTCTTATGACCTTCTTGACTGCCTGCCTGCCTGTCCATGCGGGCTGGGGCCACATGCCTGCCTTCCTCTTGCTCAGGGGGAAGAGGGCTGGGGAAGGCCAGATCTGTAGGCCAGCTGTGCTTGCGGGAGGAGGGGAGCAGGAGCAAGTGCTCCAGGAGGGGGGCACCAGTGGCCTGTTCTCAAGGCAAGGGGGCTGGGCCGTGGGACACCCATGCTATAGAGAGGCTGGGCTATAGGCCACTCATGCTCTTGGAAGGTCAGGAGCCACCTGTGCTCTGGGGAGAGATGTGGACTGCCCATGCTTGGGGGTGGGGTGGGGGCAAGAGTGCCATGAACAGCAGGGATAGAGCACCCGGCAGCAGGGACAAAGCTGGAGGCTCGCCTCCCTGAGCCCTAGCGTCACCCACCACCCATGGTTATGGGCTTCCAACTGGACAAACTAGCCTTATTCTCACTTCTCAGGATAGCAGACTTGAGGTACAAACCAGTGGGATTTGGAAGTAGCTGTGTGTAGCCCTCCTCCTTCAGCTCTGGGATAAGACATAAGGAGAGGAAAATGAGTAGGAACCCTGAGAGAAGCTGTCCACTTCCTCATCACCTCCTTGCTTTTCACTGAGTGTTCTCCTGGCTCTGTCACACACCAAGGTGTTTTGTTACGTTCAGTCCCCTTCCTGTGCTTCCAATCACTCTTCCCTCCAGCCAAACGACTCTTTTCTCCATCTTCGTGTGTGCATGCACATACACATGCACATAAATCTCTGAAGGAAACTGAAACCAGATCTGCTCTTTTCTTCCCAATTCTCACTTCCTCTTTCACTGAGCATTTGGTAAATGCTGAGAAGCACTGTGGTATAAGTTAAGACGCTGGGTAACCAAACCAGCTTAGCAGCTAGTACCAAACCAATGTACTATATTATAGAACCACATAAAACATGGTTCCTCCCAAACAGGTCTAGTGATTGCTGCTCATGCTCACTGTCCTTGAGTATAAGAGTGTGAGAAAATGAAAATGGTATGAGCAGGGCTCGACAATTAGGGCAATCTACTCGCCCAGGGCATGTGCAGCACACCAAAGCACATGGCTGGCGAGCAAGGCTCGCCATCACTTGTCAAGCCCTGGGTATGAGAGTCCCTTAATTTGACTATTACCACATAAAACCTACAACCTGGGGGAGAACATCTGAGCCATTTCCCCTATGTGACCATCTCCCCTCCTCAGATGTAGCTTATAAAAATGTTTTATTCTGCAAGTTATCAGAAAGGATTTGGTGCATCATTTGGGGTCCACAGATCACAGGTGAGGAATTACACAAGAGGACATATATTCTGCCAGGAAAATATAGCTGTACTAAGTTAACACCCGCAGACATTCATAGGAGTTTTATGGTCAACCTCTTCTGCCCAGTAAATTGAAAATGTTCCTTTGGTGCTCTTTAGTGTAAGGATCTACATCGGGGGGAGGGGGGAAGAGGGAGAAATCTTTTTGGATCAGGGACCACTGACCCACAGAAAAATCAGTTGAGGTCCACACTCAAAACCCCCTCACTGACATGGCACCCAACTGAGAAGGAGAAAGACACTTCCCACATTTCCCTCACACAGTAGAGCCTAGGGGCTGGTCCAGCCTAGTATATTTTGTGCTCTGCTGCCCTGTGGTAGGGAGTGCCAGCACGGGCTTCCCAATGAAGAGGGAGGCTCTGAGCCCTGTGGGCTGGATCCAGGCAAGTCGGGAGCCGCATCTGGCCCATGGACCTTAGGTTCCCCACCCTTGATCTACATTAAAAACTAATCTTAAAGGTACAATGTAAGATGTAAACACTTCATTGCAACTTTGCTTTAAAAAAACAAAAGGTTTTAAAAATGCAGGCAAGAATATACCAGAGAGGAAAACAAAACAAGCTTAATAGGAAACTCAAAAGGAGAAGCAGCTCTTACATTTCTTAATACTTCTTTGATTAGGAAATAGAATGTCTCTTCATTAGATAGAGTAATAGTTATACAGGCAGTAAATTTAGTCTCCATAGAGAACTTGACAGCACATCTGAGAATTCATAGACGTGTTTCATGCTGAGTTTTGAGAGAGATTAATTTTGCTAAAAAAACCAACAAATGGTCTGGTAGCACTTTATAGACTAACAAAACATGTAGATGGTATCATGAGCTTTCGTGGGCACAGCCCACTTCTTAAGATGACCGGAGTTATGAGTAGGGGATTTGAAAACTCTAAATAAATAAGAGAAGGGAAAAGCGGGGAGGGGAAAGAGAATGATGCTCTGTCTCCCACTTCCCTTTTCTGTTTTTTCTTTAAGTATCTGGAGAATGGGTGCTAAACCTAAGCAGATAAAGATCAAAGTCAATAGATTGCTAAAACAAGAAGGATACCACTCAGAAAGCTGTTAGCACCCTGAGTGGTAAAGTCTCCATCTAGCTTTCCTAGGCCAGTCTGTCTTTCCTCCCTCTCTGTTTCCCTCCATCATCTTCCTGAATGGGAACTGTCTGGGTTATTGCTCCAAGCACATTATGTCAAATAATTCCTTGCATATTAGAAAAGGTTAAAATATTCTAGTGCAGTTGATCCATTCAGCACCTACTACCACTTGGCAGTAAATCCACTTACCCAGTGAAAAGGAATATGGTAACATGCACTTCACACAGAGATGGTGAAGCTAAAAAGACCTCCTGAAATACTTGACGAAGGTCTACTGAGAAATGTAGCTGGGAGTGCTCAGTAACATTATGGATTGATATTTTATTCAAGGACTAGAAGATAAATCAGTGCAAAAAACTGTAGGTCACAGAACAGATGCCAAAGTTTTCATTGAAATAGGTTACAGAAATGTCTACTTAAAATTATCAAAGGGGGACTACTGTAATAGAATGTGAAGAAGATAAGGTAGGTCAAAGACACTTCCATAAGAGTCCTTTAGGGGACTCATGCTAACTCTCCCAAAGTTGAGAGCAGAGATTCTTGTGATGGGTCTGATCTCAAACTCCCAAAAAGGTAATAGGGGGATGAGAATCCCCTTGTTATAATAAATTAGTTTAAAATCTAAAGGGGAAGGCAGAAAGATTATTTTTCAAGTTCCTGGCTCTACTTTTCAATTAGTTAAAGGTCAGACTCAGTTCTCAGTTACACAGAAGAAACTTGTAAGTCACTCCACTGCTGGTAGTTGAATTACTGTAGAATCTGGCACATTTTTATCTAAATAACACTTTCTAAGGCCTGTAGACATGACTGACCATGAATGAAGAACTTTGTATTCAAACATTGCTCATAACAGAAACCGACCTTTGTGATTTTATTTTACAAAATATTGATTTGGTAGCATGTCCTGAAATTATTGTCTTAAACTTTTCATCCAGATGATCATGCCTTCGGTGATTTCTATATTTAAAACAACTTACCATATCTTTGACGAGCAAGTGTCCAGAAGAAAATGCAATTGAGTTGGGGGGTGTGGAGACTGGCAGCATGAAAGCATATGAGCATCCTATAGTTCCTGGTATCATTAAATACAGGGGATTTACTTTCAGACGAATTGCCTAGAAAGAACAACATTTAAAAAACAACACACCATATGTTAGGGGTTCTGAGCTAAAAGGGACATACATCTAAGAATACAAACAGTTACACACTGTGCCAAGCAGACCTCTCTGCTTTACAATAGCACAGTCTGATATTCTATTGCTAATAAATGGTTTAAAAACTATTATTATGCAGTGTTCATGTGGCGCAGCAGATACTTGCGCTCCTTTAGCTGCTCGTTTCCAAATAGCCCAAAAGACTAAGCAGGCCTTTGAAACTCCCTATGACGTGCACAGGCATGGTTATCCCCATTTCACAAATTGGGAAACTGAGGCACTGAGCCAGGAAGTGGCTTGCCCAGAGTTACACAGCAGGTCTGTAGCAGAGCTTGAAATAGACTCCAGGAATTCTGGGCCCCGGTTGCCTGTTCTAATGACTTGAATACACAATACCCAGCCTTGTAGTCATAACATCAGCAAAACCACAGTTTGACTAAATCCTGAGGTCTGGTTACATGGCCTCAGTAACCACATGGACCCCTGTGAGGCTGAGCCACCAAGGGGTTAAGCAACCAGCAGGATGATTGAGCCAAAAATCAACCATTAAGGACCTATTAGAAGAATAGTGAAACGCTATAGAGGTCCATTCCTTACAAGCAGTTAGCACAACCATGTTAAATAGACTTGAGTCCTTGAAATGTCAGCCTGTATTGTTAGAGAATCAAGAATAGAGGCTAGTTGCACTTGTCTGTGTTACGGGGTGACGTGTGGAGGAGGGCTGAGGGGGCACAACCCCTAAACAATGTGACTTACATTGCGCTCTCTTGTGCAAGAACGTATGCAAATGAGGCACGGTGATGAATATCGCCACGCCTCATTTGCATACTTAATGAGCCACCAGTTTGCGCAAGGGGCTTTTGCAAGGAGGAGCAGTCTACACTGCTCCTTCTTGTACAAAAACCCCCTCTTGCGCAAGAGCCGTTCTGCCTGAAAATAAGAGGCAGAACAGCTCTTGCACAAGAGAGGGTTTTTGTGCAAGAAGAAGCAGTGTAGACTGCTTCTTCTTGCGCAAAAGCCCTTGTGCAAAAATGGCGGCTCATTAAGTATGGAAATGAGGCCCGGCGATATTCATCGCCGTGCCTCATTTGCATATGTTCTTGCACAAGAGAGCGCAATGTAGACATAGCCTGTGGGTGGGAGGGGCAAGGAGCCAGAGCCTCTGGGTGGTCTGGGGGTTTAGCGAGCTGTGGCCCTGCTGCTCTGCTTCCTCGGCCCCCAGTGCTGCCCGTAAGTGTGTGGGGGGGATCCCGCTGCTGGTGACAGGCTGCTGCTAGTCCCCCGAGTGGAGTCACTAGGGGGGAAAGAGGCAGGGATGGAGCAAGGGTGGGAAAGAGGCAGAGCAGAGGCGGGGAGAGGCAAGGCCTGGAGCAGAGGGGGGCGGTTGTCCCAACCCTCCCCCTGAGCTAGGGGTGGCGCGGTGAGGAATCATGGGGAGCGGGGCTAATCACATGGCCAGTGCCCTGATGTCCTTCCTAATCGCCCCCGGGTTTACCTACACCTTGTTAGAAGTTTAGCAATGGGCTCTAATTAGCTTGTAGATGCTAAAATTCTTTTCCTGTCTTTAATGATTCATTTTGGTATTCTAATGACTCAAGGTCAAAAGAGGATATTATCATTTAGATGGGACTTGTGGTGTAACAATAGTGTTTCATTTATCTTTGATATTTGTAGCAAATGACTTATGAGCTGTTTAATTGCCCTTTGCTAATGCACACAACTAGTTACCAGTGCATGCCTAGCAATGAGGGATTAGCTTCAAAGCAGCAGTTTACATTACCTATTCTTCAACCAAAGAAACTCTGCTGTGACCATAGCTTGCGTCAAGCTATAAAGGAAGTTTCTCATCTGATCCTTGCTATTTCAGATCTGTTTAAACTTTGCCAGGGAAAGTCTAAGCCACTGGTCACCAACCAGTAGATTGGGGTCTACTGGTAGATCTGGGAGCCTCTGATAAGGGATCCCCACTGGTTTGGCTAAGAGGCTACCAAGTGCCAGAACTTCAGTTGCCCCTCCCCCCCTGCGGCACATCTCCTGCCCTTTGCCTTGGAGATGTCGCCTCCTCACTCCCCCCCCCCACCACCACCACCACGCACACCTCCTGCTTGCTGTGCAGGGCAGGGAAGGGAAAGGAGTGGGAATTGATGTCAGGATGCCCACTCTTCCACTCCGTATCCTATCTCCACAGAACCAGGGTGGGGCACAACAGGGCCTGGGACCAAGGGAGCTTGCTGGCTGCTTTTGAGAATGGTGCAGGGCCAGGGCAGGGGTAAGCCTGCCTTAGCTACCTGCACCACCACCCAGGAGCCACCTGAGGTAAGCAGTGTTCAGCCGGTGCCCACATCCCAAAACCCTACCCCACTTATGAACCCCCTCCTGCACCCCAAACCCCTGCCCTAGTCCTGAGCCCCCTGGACCCAAATTTCCTCCCAGAGCCTCAACTCTGAACAGCTCCTGCACCCCAACTCCCTGTCCCAGGCTCAGCTCAGAGCCCCTCTATCACTCCAAATCCCTTAGCCCAAGGGCAGAGCCTGTGCCCAACTCTCTGCCGCTACCTGAGGAAAGAGAGGGAGAATGGGGGAGGATGGAGTGAGTAGGGTGAGCAGAGGCAGGGCCCCCAGAGAAGGGGCACAAAGGAGGCACAGCAAGGGCATTTGGGTTTGAGGTAGATCCTGGATTGCACTTAAAATTCAAAAAGTGATCTCGTGCTTAAAAAGGTTGGAGACCCCTGGTCTAAGCCCATAAGACTGACATCTTCAGGTCTACCTCAGATTAACCCTGTACTTTTCATGGAAGAACATGAAAAAAAAACTCTGCACATGGACTATAGCCTTTTAAATTGACTCTAGAAGGCGGTTTACAAATCAGCAACCTTACAATCTCTGCTATGAAAATGACCTAAGAACTTTATTCATATCTGTACATATAATAATCCTTTCATCTCAGCAACTTTCTGTCTTTTCTTTTTTATTAATAAATCTTAGTATTGGCTATAAGCATGTATTTAGGTGATATCTGAAAAATTCATTGATCTGGTGGTAGATTGGTAGAACTTTATATAGGATTAATACAGTTTTTAGTAACCCTTACTATATTAGAGTTGGGAGCTAAAGGCTGGATTGCTTAAAGGGTTTGGCTTCTTGGTAACCAATAAGGTATTACAGGAGCTGATTAGAGTTCAACAAGCCAGTAATCAATTATAAAATAAACCACAGGTTTGGGGACTGTCTGCCTTATTCTTTGTCATTTGCCATGAATGAGCATTCTCAGCATCGCCCCTCAAGTGACCAGAGGGTGTTCACACTCGACAGACTGTGTCCACATTGGGGTCACCATCATCCACAACGCGAGCATCGCATTGTGAGTATGTATCCCACAGTGGAGTGTTGTGGGAAGGCAGAGCCAGCGGGGATGACAGTCACCCCGGGCCCAGGGGCAAGGTGAGGGAAGGCCCCAACTTTGCATCCCCAGAAGGGGCGAGACCTCAGACAGAAGGGGTGGAGCCCATGCAGTCAGCCCTCAGTGCCACCCAGAGCATGGTATAGCTCCCACTGCCACTCCCTGCTGTTGGCAGGCCTGAGCAGAGCTGATCTCTGTGCATCTTAGGATTCCTCCCAAGCCCTAGCCTCCTCAGCTTCCCAAAGCAGCAGCATGAGTCGCTCTATGAGCTCTCAGTGCTGAGGAATGTCAAAGCAACACAGCAGCCCATCTCCCTCCCTCTGCAGCAGCAGTTTGCCTACTCCTGTGTTCCTAGTGCCAGTCACAACAGGAGCAGTCCAATGATTTGCTCTTTGCTCCCCAAACAGAGCAGCACACACAGCTGTCAGATACTTCTGGCACATGGCTGCAGGGCAGCAGAGATCAAAATACTGAGCAGAGCCATTCTGGGATACTGGCGGAAGCCACTGCTGTCTAGAAAACAAACAGCACAGGTCCACACTGGCTCTTTGTTGAGAATACAGGGAGAAAAGTCTCTGGCAGGAGGTAGAGAGGCAGCTGTGGTTTGCTGCTGGTGGGGGAACAGCCAACATACTCCAACTAGAGGGTCTAATGAAGCAAAACCTTCCTGGCCCACACCTAAAGGGCAGTAGGGCTTCGGGTAAGATAGGCATGTGGGAGACCTTTTGTCACATTCAAATCCTTGTTCTCTTATGTCATGCTTTTTGCCTGCTGTTCGGAAAGGGCTGTGAGGCACTGTAGCCACCACAGGGCACAAGCTCCCTAAGAGAAGAACTGCAAGTGTTGAACCCAGCCAGGCCTGCTGAGCCATCGTAGTTAGGACACAGGGCTCTGTGTGATGATAGGAGAATTCCAGGATTCCACCCCAGACAAAACAAAGGCACAAGGCCTAAGGGACGTGTTGAGAGAGACCGCAGAAGGGACAGAGAGCTAGTCCCATGATGGTGATCTATCTTACCAGTTCTGCCAGGATAGGCAGGAAGATTATAATTGTGGCCGTGTTACTGGCGAACTCTGTGAATAAGGCAATCACAATTGTGATAAGCACGACAGCCACCGCCGGCGGCACCCTCTCCAAAGGATGCAGGTGGCCTCCAATCCAGACAGACAAGCCTGACTCCTGCAGTGGGAGAGAAATGCAGCAGATTTTGTATTTGATTCCCTCCTTTTCCATGCAAGTCTCAGATCATTTCAGAGAATTGCAAACTGTATATTAAACAAAGGTCACTTCAGTCCCCCACTTCTGAAACACAGCCACGTTAGGGTGGTGCATGTTACAGCACTGAACTGTCAGGTACAGTCACTCAATATCTTAACTGCCATGGACTGCAGGTGCAAAATTTCAGTAGCAAAGTCAGAAGCCAAATAGATGCCCTTTTAAAAACCAGGGGCATAGAGCTGAATACCAGTAAGAAAATATCAGACACACATCATTCCAAATACTACCTCACATCCTTTTGCCATGGCAAATCCTCCACCGAGCAGCAAGATAATGTTCCAGGGTACTGTCTCTTGGGCCCTTCTCCAAGACAGCAATGGTGCATTCTCAGTGTTTGATGCTAAACAAAGAGAGACCCCCACCAAACACATACACACAGATTAACAAATCACTGAGTACCCTGCCTTAGAATTATGTGCTGAGCTCCTGCAGCGTGTTCACCTTATAGAGAACACAGAAGGAGGGGACAGGGTCCATACCCGCCCCGAGGACTTACAACTTACCTTTTAAGTCAAACCACCATTTACAGGATGGTCTTTGTGAAGGAAAAAAGAACAGTATGGTCACTATAGCAACTCCTGTAACTGCATCGGAGACAAACCTGTCCGGGAGGAGCAAAAACATTTGTAAGCTGCAAAAGCCTTCAGATTTGCAAAGTTTACAAAAACTGGGATTTACCAAAGAAGATTAGGATTTCACATCAACAACACTTATTGTTCACGATTCATTTTCTAAATTCCCCTCTGGGCTACATTTCTAAGATTGGCCGTGACTCCCCTAGAAAACTGACCAAAGACACTGAAAACACAAAAACCCCAGCCAAACTTTAAAAAAAAAAAAAAAAAAAAAAGGGGGGGGGGGTGAAGGTGGCTGTGCTGGCAGCTTTAACGACTGAATTGCTTTCAGTCTGTTAGAGTTTGCAAGAAGAATACTGATTAGGGAAGTTGGGGAGATTGCCTAAGCTGGTTGCAGGGGAGGAATTAAATCAGACCACACTGGCCTATTTTGTTAATGATCTCTGTCAAATGTGCAGCTTCTGAAGTGTAACTCTAAATAGCTTCTAAACTCTAGGCCCCAATTTAGCAGAGCATTTAAGCTTTAACTTTAAGTAACTGTTAAGAACCAAATTAATCTGTGGAGTATGTACTTGATTCCCATTAAAGCCAAGCATGTGGTGAACCGCTTTGCTGAATATGGATAGTCTGTTGAACGGGAGAAACCGAAATGGGCTCTTTTTTGTACAGAATCGGCTCACTCTCCCTTTGTGTTATGATTCCCTTGATTGTTCTTACCCTTTAACTTCACATAAGAAAAGTCTGGGTGTCAGACAGGTTTGCAAAGCAGAGAGAAAAAGCACTAGGGCTGCAGCCTTTATTCACCCCAAACCTGCACCAAAATCAATAAGCCTGCCCAAAGACTTCAGGACCTGGTCTTAAATGTATCAACAGGCAACATTCCCAGAGCTCAGGCCATAGGGATGTCATGAAATAGGTGGGTGCATTTCCCACTAGACTTCCACATCCTGGAAACATAAACCTTTCAAATGGTTCTACAGAGATACATAAGGCTCAGTTCCATTTACCCATGAAACCTGGGCAACAGTACATACAAGGACAATAAAAACACACGTATTTCAAAAGCCTGGAAATGTGACTGAAAAATGGTAGAGTGGATTGAAAATAAAATCTTACCCAGGTGTGAATAAACTTGCCCAACCTGGGATGAATTTTGGGTCCCGGGAGAACAGCAGGATTGCAAACAAGCAAAAGAAGCAGAGAACTGCCTGTTCTGCAAATCTAAGGTGTAAGGAGATGCAATTAAAAACAGTCATGCTAATGTAGTGAACATGATTTACCTTTCCTGGCTCACCTTTAGCTATTTAAGTTAGGGATGATTTCCCTGCATTTCAAGCCTTAGCTTAGAAAGGTGAATAACACTGAACTTCATGTATGACTCAGGGACACTTTCCCTCTCTAAAAGCAGAATGTAGGCTGTATCCCCCATTGACTGGTATGATATGAGAGCTGATGAGGCAGGGGATTTGCCAATTGCAATAGCATCTGCCAATGTTAATATTTCTAGTAAGGACTAGGGCGTAAAATCCTGACCTGAATGAAGTCAGTGATGTAACTCTGACTTCAGTGGAGCTAGGATTTGACCAAGATATGTCCACAAAATATTGCCTTAAAACTTCTCAAAGAGGCCAGGAAGAAGGTATACTTAAATTACTGAGAAGAAATCACTTGGATTGAATTTAAGTTAATCAAATTGGTAGAACATGGCTTAATGGACTTTCTCTGCTCCTCATACTCAAAGTGGGACTTTGATTCTTAACAATTACATTTTGCAGGCTGGTCCATAATGTACTGAAGAGAAAACATAAACCAATTTCTTTCATTTAGCGCACACAGGAATAATTTGAATGTAAGTAGCGCAGCACAAACAAACATCAGTGAACCCTCGCAGTATCTCTGTAAGTAAAGCTGGGCAACTTGTGGGGGACAAATAGTAAATTCACTAAATAATTCATTTGGGGGGACAAAGAAACTATTAGTGAATTCAGCTCAAAGAGGTGGGACATTCCCCCCCCCCCAAAAGAGACAAAATAGTTTATTTTGAAACAAAACATTGAGGCAGGTCTAGACTAAGAGTTAGCGTGCAGCAAGCTAGTGTGGAAATGCACCGTGCACTACCCTGCCACACAGGAATCCATATGGATTCTGCTGCCACTCACTAAAACTGCCATAACGTGCTTGTATCTGCTCCAGCATCAAGGCATCATAGCTTAGTGAATTCTACAGAAAACTTATAGTACACTGAAGCAAGGTCCACATAGACAGTGAATTTATACCCCCACTTGCTAACTGTTCATCTAGACAAGCTCTGAGACTTTGTGTTTCGAAATATAGCTATTTTTTTTTCTCTCTCTCTCTCTCTTTTTTTTTTTTTTTTTTAAGGATGAGAAACTCCAAACATTGAATAACCTGCTCCCAAAATCTTTTTCAGGTCAAAAAGCACTCCAATGCCTAAACAAAAAAGTGGGCAAATAGTTCATTTCATTTCAGGTGTTTTTTAGCCAAAACAAATGAGGGGGGACTGGAGTAGGTTCCAGTAAGAAAAACCAACAAAAATCCATTTTGATTTGAAACAAACTGATTTTTTTTTAATATTAGCCAAACTGAAATGTCAGTTGTTCACTCAGCTCTATCTGTGAATATGGAAACACTTTTACAAATAGGGAAGCTGAGATGCAGCAAAATTAAGACCTACATTTTCAAGAAATATCCATTAACTTTGGTTGCGTAGATTTTTGGTGTCCAATTTGAAACAGGTAAGGCCTGATATTCAATTTTCCAGCATCTCATTGTATAAGTTTAACCATTCCCAATGCCTTTCCACCCATTCTGCAATATGTAACTAGTTCCTTGGGATTTGTTCAAAAAAATGGTATTGAAATATCAATACAGATCTGGCTAAAGCTAACCAAAAGACAGAAATGTCAGAGTTATGCCTGAAACTTGGGAAGCATCTTGCTCTCTCTTCACATGACTGATTAATAGATCTCAGAGAACAATTCACAATGACGAAAAAAATCATCTAATTTTCTGTCCACAAATTGCCCAAACACATATTATAAAATAATTGAATTATATTAATTATAGGCAGTTATTCATGAATCCTTTCAGAAGATCATTCATAAGCAGCTTCCCACAAATATTAAAAATTCACATAGTATTGGTTAGTTATATAAATCACATGATAATGTTTCTGTTTCCATAATTACAGTATGTAATTAACCCAGCATGAATTGTCATTTACAATTACAAATTGGCATTTTTGGAAATTTTAGTGACATGTTTATTATCTGCAATTAACAGCATTAGTAAAGAGCAAGCTGCTGAATGTTTGAAAAAAGCAAACTTAAGATGGTCACAAATACCAAGTTCACTAACAAATTCTAACAAATATCCTCACCGTTTCCTTGTTTCTAGCCCAGTTGTTTTTTATGTCATTTTTGTTCCCTTTTCGTGACTTACTTCATTGGCCCCAATTTCTGATAATCCTCCTTTATGACTGCTCGGGCTCTGTCTTCCGCATCCATTCTTATTTCCGACTTTTTCTTTCTGCAGTGCCTACCAACACGGAGATAACAAACATGACTCATTTTTGCAATTTCATTATGGAACTCAAACATTGACATTCATGTTTACTATTCTGCCCACACCTATATAAGGCATACACAGGTGACTGCAGGGAAGGCTTGGGAGGATAAAGTGTACATCATGGACCTGTGATTTCAGAAAACCAATAGTATATGGATCCACTTTGTAATCTAGTAACTACTTCCAGCCTCTTAAATAGGCTTCCCAACTCTCAGACAAGTTATATATAATGCCACAAAAAATATTCATGACTCCCTTACTCACACTGAGTCACACCTTACCTGGTGTATAGTGCTGAAAACATCAATGGAGCTACTTACGTAGTGCTGTGGCATTCAATGTGAATAAACGTGACAAAAGTCTAGCCATGCATGTATTGGACAGTGGATATTATAGATAATATTCCCACCCTTTCATGACAAGACACAAATGGGCTTGCAGAACCTGTGAGCACACTCACTTACGTGCACAAACAGACATTAATGATCCTATTGTCTATGTGGCATGCACAGAGGGGGTGATGCGCATGTAAAGAAATAAGTACTCCAGTTCTGAGTGGGTGCTTTTTTATGCCTGTTGTAAACATGGTTCTAGTAACTAACAGAAAATCTCTGATGCTGCCTAGAAACCCTGGGGTTGAATTCTCTCTGGGTTCAGAGTGTGTAAATTTCATTGGTGTTCAGGGAGCAGAACAAGAGGTGTCTCCTGAG